TGGAATCAAACGGTAGCCCAATCTTTTCTGAGCATTTTGTTTTTTTATTCACTCTATTATCTCTGTTACTAACGAAGATGCAGTATTTTAAAGCGATCGCCTGTGAAAACAAGACGAGTGACAATAGTAGCTGATGACCATTTTATTGTTCTAAGCAATCGTAGAACGACAGCTGTAGAAGCTCGGTATCGTCTTTAAATGGTGCATGTTGTTGATGTCAGTGAGAGAACCATTCGCTGAAAACTTGCTAGATGTGGTCTCGTTGCAAGAAGGCTGCCAAAGGACCGAGGTTGCTTCCAAGATATCTGCGCGCTTACATGTAAATTGGGAGATCGAGCAATGGAGGAAAGTCCTTTTTACGGATGAGTAGTGGTTTTGTCTATCACCCGATGGTCGATGAGCGAATATGAAGACGTTGAAATGAAAGATTTGTGGATTATACAATTATGAAACGCGAATGTTGCGATGGTGGTTCTGTGATGGTGTGGTCGGGAATTTACAATGAAGCCTATACAGATTTTTAATCTTTGTTAAAAGTGCCGCCTTAAATCACTGACCTTGAAAACAAAAACTGGGCACCCGAAATAGTTTTGCAAAAGTACTTACATTTTCTTAGAATTACGTACGTCCTTCATTATTGTAAACATCAGTTGACAAATAAACAAGAAAACAAACTTAATTTAATGTAACAATTAAAATTAATAGCGTGTGTGCCCCCCACGAGCTAAAATAACCTCATGTAGTCGACGCGGCATCGAACTGATTAGGTTTGTAATTGATTCCTGAGGAATTGCGGCAAACTCTTTTTCAAGGGCAATTCGTAACTCTTGAAGGTTGTCCAGTACGACAGGACGACGACGAATGCGTCTCTCAAGTTGGTCCCAAAGATATTCGATAGGGTTAAGGTCCGGGCTGCACGCTAGCCACTCTATTCGTTCAATACCCTACTTCATTAAGATATTCGTTAACCACACGTGATACGTGCGGTCGCGCATTGTCATGCATTAGCATGAATCCGTCACCAATAAAATGGGAATAGAACCTCCATGGAAAGGTACTCTTTCCGAAATTGTGCANAAAACATTCTGAGTTGTCACGGTGTCCTATGCTCACCAAGAAAACTCTTCAACGCAACTCTAATCTATAGAGTGCGTCCGTAAAGCAGTGGATATATAAATCAGATTAGATTCTGACAGCCAACCTAGAGAATCTGGGAAGATACTTCCGGAAATGGCGTCTTCAATCAAACGCCAACAGAACTGAGGTAACATGTTTTTATCTAAACAATAAACTCGTCGACAGAAAGCTTCCAATATAATTCGAGAACTCATGGCTTACTCACAACATTCAAAGCACATATAGTGAAAACAGCGGAGAAACAAAAATACGAGGAACAACATTATACCAAAGGAGTGTGGAACAACAAGGGGAGCCTCCAGTGTGCGCTCAACAGCCGTGAGCCTCATCTTCTCAGCCCCTAAATACTGTGCGCCAGTGTAGCTTAACAGTCCTCATGTCCACAGAGTCAATGCTTAATTCAATAACACGATGAGAATGATCGCAGGGGTTATCACAACTACTTCCATGGAATCGCTCCCCTTACTGAGTCATGTACCACTCCCAAACCTGCACCCTATAAGTGCTATCACAAGAGAATACAAGATCTTGATCAATCAAACCGACCAATACACAAGGAGATTGCGGACACCAACCACACCCGCCTCCGATCCATAAAGCCAGCGATCAAAACAGCAGCCACTGCTACAGGCAAAGCATTCAGCCTGATTAACACTTGGCATCACGAATGGATAACAAACCAGAACAATCAGACCCCATGTATTACCCAAGAGCCTCCTAGCTTTAATTTACCACACAAAACCTGATCAACTCTAGACAGAATACGGAACTTGAAAATACAGCATGGTAGATACGCTTACTTTCTGAGCATTTTGTTTTTTTATTCACTCTATTATCTCTGTTACTAACGAAGATGCAGTATTTTAAAGCGATCGCCTGTGAAAAGAAGACGAGTGACAATAGTAGCTGTTTTGATGAACGTTTTATTGTTCTAAGCAATCGTAGAACGACAGCTGTAGAAGCTCGGTGTCGTCTTCACATGGTGCATGTTGTTGATGTCAGTGAGAGAACCATTCGCTGAAAACTTGCTAGATGTGGTCTCGTTGCAAGAAGGCTGCCAAAGGACCGAGGCTGCTTCCAAGATATCTGCGCGCTTACATGTAAATTGGGAGATCGGGCAATGGAGGAAAGTCCTTTTTACGGATGAGTAGTGGTTTTGTCTATCACCCGATGGTCGATGAGCGAATATGAAGACGTTGAAATGAAAGATTTGTGGACTATACAATTATGAAACGCGAATGTTTCGATGGTGGTTCTGTGATGGTGTGGTCGGGAATTTACAATGAAGCCTATACACATTTTTAATCTTTGTTAAAAGTGGCGCCTTAAATCACTGACCTTGAAAACAAAAACTGGGCACCCGAAACAGTTTTGCAGAAACACTTACATTTTGTTAGAATTACAGAATTACGTACGTCCTTCATTATTGTAAACATCTGTTGACAAATAAACAAGAAAACAAATTTAATTTTATGTAACAATTAATAATAACACGAAAATTAATAGCGTGTGTGGCGAACATCTGGACGCCAGAGAACCTTCTAAACTGTTCAAAAGAACTCTCTCCGTACATCTGGACAGCAGATCCTTTTGGTCCAGACAAGGACTTGAAGAGAACTTTCACCGGGGATGTTACTGGACTCGGGGATAAAAGGAACCAGGATCGGCCCGGAGAGTTCAGTTACCATCAGTTATCAGTTGCCATCGGCAGTTATCAGTTGTCAGTTACCATCGGCAGATCAGTCAGCAGTTACCCTTTTCGCGTCCGCACTTACATTATTATTGTTGTAAATAAAATTTTGTTGTTGAAGACATTGGTTTTCCTAAAACTTTCTCTCGCTACTATCAAAGCATTAGCCCCGCAGCGAGTGTGCCCCCCACGAGCTAAAATAACCTCATGTGGTCAACGCGGCATCGAACTGATTAGGTTTGTAATTGATTCCTGAGGAATTGCGGCAAACTCTTTTTCAAAAGCAATTCGTAACTCTTGAAGGTTGTCCAGTAGGACAGGACGACGACGAATGCGTCTCTCAAGTTGGTCCCAAAGATATTCGATAGGGTTAAGGTCCGGGTACTCTTTCCGAAATTGTGCAAGTCGCAAACCTTTCATTACGACGTCTCCACACTCATTCTCGACCATCAGGTGACCGGAGACAAAATCGGGACTCGTCAGTGAAGAGCACCTTACCCCATTGTTCTATTCCCCTATTCATATGTACGCGTCCAAATTGAAGACGTGCTCGCCGATGTCTCTGGAGCAGCCGAGGTCTTTTGGCAGATCTTCTTGCAGTCAGATCACTTTTATCAAGTATTTGATGAATAGTTCTTTCACTTACGTCAACCCCACGCATCATTTGAAGACGATGCCGAGTTTCTACAGCTGTCGTTCTACGATTCCTCAGAGTGTTTAGAACAATAAATCGGTCATCAACTGCTGTTGTCACTCGTCTTCTACCAAAACCTTGCCGCCTAGTGAAATTTCCTGTTTCCACATGTTGGTTCCAGGCATCCTGAACTGTTGTTCGTGGTATACCCAACGTATGGGCAACGTATGGCTGACTTTTGCCATCCTCAATTAAAGTAACAATACGCGCAACATCAGTTACTGACAACGGGATTACTATTATGTTAAAAGACTGTAAAAATCTTTAACAACTGTCAATTTACTATTCGGAACAAATGACATACGCTACCTAGCGCGCCACCTTCAGTGATGGGCACTGGGTAAATACCTGGCGGGTAGGTATTTCTAAAATGGGTATTTATCCGGGTATTTACCCAGGCCCGGGGCAAATACCCAAACAGTACGTATAAAAGTAATACAAGTAAAAATATAACAGATTCGGAAAAAAAAAATATAGAGGAAGATGATGAAATGGGCGTTGAAAACGAGGAATTGTCAACGATCAAAGACGAGGAAATGTCAACGATCGAAGATGTATTATCATCAGGCAACCTCTTGCCACCTGCTTTGCCACAATGTTGACCGCATCATTTACGCCAGTTCTTCTTCGTAGGTCTTCATTTCGTATGTGGTCCCTCAGGGTTACACCCAGCATCGACCTCTCCATCTTTCTCTGTGTCACTTTGAGCCTCCTGGTAATGGCCACCGTTAATGTTAAAGTTTCGGAACCGTATGTCATAACCAAAGGAGGAACCACGCGTTGATTGAAAGCCTTTCTTTTCAAATATACAGGAATATCGCTCACTTTTTTTTCTAGAGTCCTTTCAACAATATTAAAAACTTAATGTACTTGTTGGATGATTGAGTGATCGCTTCGAAAACCAAACTGATGTGATGGAATGATGTTCATTTCTTCAAGAATCATCCATTTTTAGAAATTTATTATGATTTCTTGAAAATGAGTGAAAATAATTGTTTATGTCGTTAAATGAAAAAATCCCTTTTTATGTTTAAAAATTAATATCTTAACAACTAAAAGACATTTTGAAAATCAGTCTCTCTCGGTGGAGAGCTTATAATTTGTATAACAAGTGGTGAGAATTTAATAATGATTTATTGAAATCCCGATTTTTACGTTTTTTTTGCAAAAAATTGTTTATGCCGAAAAATGAGAAAATATCTTATCTTGTTTAAAAATTGATATCTCAAAAAGTAAAAGATATTTTTAAAATCAGATTTAACGAAGAACATGTCCCAAAAAAACAACGTTTCTCTCGTGCTTCAAAATAATAGAACTTTACGATAGGTTCAAGGTGCATATTAGACTTCATCCAGATTATGTTAAATTAAACTAATTTAATTGATGAATCCAGCTTATTATATACAAAAATTACCATTTTTTTTTCAGTAAAAATATTTATTCAAATTTGATTAAAAAAACTTTTATAATTTTTCTGAGAATTTATAAGAAAAGGAACGTATGATTATTATATTATCATTATTCATTGTGTCAGTTTCATTCTTAATTCTTTAAGCAAAAATGCTTTCAAAACATTTATGACGACAGTTTGTATAGAACCACTTTGAAGCAGCATTGGCAATAGCATTAGAAGATCTTCCTTAGTAATGTTGGCAACAGCACGTTGTATACGAGAAGCTAATTGTTCTTTTTGTTCATAAGACATGTCATGTTCTATAACCTGAACTAAAGATTTGTACTTTGTACGCCCTTTAGCAGCTGCTACACAAGCTCCAACAACACCACCTAAAAGAATGGTGGAAAAGTTATTCTTATCCATTAAAAACATGTAAGTTAATAAAATGATTACTTACCTACTCCTACACCTATTGGTCCACCAACTAATCCCCCAACGACAACACAACCTCCAGTCAAAGCTGCTCCTTTTAAAGATTCGACCACAATTACTTTAAATTTTCTTACTTTAGCTAATTCAGTTACAGCATCTATAATTTGCCTTGGTTGTAACGCCATCCTGAAAAATAATGTTAATCAACAAAGAAAACAAAATGTATTAAAAATTTTTATTTTTTTAGACTTACTTAGTTGAATAAAGTGTAATATGACTGTGAATCTGTAAATGTTTTATGTAATGGAAACAGCGTGGTTTTATTAAAAAAGTTGACTTACTTTATAAGTATATCCGCAAACAACAAATAACACAAATTTTTTCACAATATGATATAGATATTATTTTATGATTTCAGCAAAACGCCGTTTAATTTTATAAATTAATTCTGTTTAATTCGTTTGAAATCTTACCGACCGACGTACTTACATCGTTTAAGTCTACAGAACAAACTTGTTCGATGAGTTCCACCCTCTTAATTTCTTTCATTCTGACCAGAATCCCCTCTTAACGGTCCTTCATGTCCATGTGACGTCATCAGCGTTGCAAATTCATGTATTGTATATAGAAGGAGTAAATTTTAATTTCCTATTGCTCACTTTTTGATCGATTTCGATTTTAATTCAATTTAATTAAGTAAGCCTAAGAGAAAATATGTGTTTTCTGTAAGAAGTGCGTTTCTTTTCATTTCTGTAAGAAAAACATCTAGACTGTCAAATATAAAAAAAAAGATCCAAAACCGAGTTTTAATGTCAAAATAAATAAGTTTTTATAAATCAATGATAATAAAAGTCATATTCGTAATGTTCAAGCATTAGAAATTGATTATTTGTATAGCTCCAATTTGCAAATAAATTTACCAAGATTCTAGAATTGCTAAAGGCATCTCCTCTTGCTGAGCGTCATTTAATTTGATAGACGTACAGTGATACAATAAAGTGTACATACAGCCCGGAAAATAATAATAATAATAATAACTTGGCTTTATTAATAAAAAAAAAATAATGACAATAATTATACAAAAGCAATACGTAGGGCGGAGTTAGGAATCAAGTTCCTCTCTACCACTCAACCCTACAAACAAACAAACAAACAAACAAAAAAATCAATGTTTACGAAATTAACAATATTAAACAAATCAAAAATAATAAAAAAAAAAAAAAAAAAAAAAAAAAAAAAAAAAAAAAAAAAAAAAAAAAAAAAAAAAAAAAAAAAAAAAAAAAAAAAAAAAAAAAAAAAAAAAAAAAAAAAAAAAAAAAAAAAAAAAAAAAAAAAAAAAAAAAAAAAAAAAAAAAAAAAAAAAAAAAAAAAAAAAAAAAAAAAAAAAAAAAAAAAAAAAAAAAAAAAAAAAAAAAAAAAAAAAAAAAANAAAAATAAAAAAAAACAAAGGAACATATATTAATTGCAATACATATGCATGCGAAACTCAGCAACTATACGCCAGATTGTTCATCCATTAACATTTGTCGCAGTTTCTTCTTAAACGCATTCAAATTTAGAGACTTCAAAGAGCCTGGCAGCGGATTATAATATTTAGGAAGGCAATAAGTGAAGGATCGTTCAAATAACGAGGTCTCGTGTTTAGGAGGTGTAATAATACCTCTATTTCTAATATTGATATTATGAACATCTGTCCTGAATGATATTTTGTTGTATAGATACGGGGGCTTCTTCAACATGAGAAGTTTATGGTAGAATGATAATAAATGCAACTTTCTTCTGTTGGACATATTCAACCAACCAGCATCTATTAATTTATGAGACACATGATCATACCGTTTTAAACCGTATACAAGCCTGAGGCAAGCATTCTGTACCCGCTGTACACGACTTACTGAAGTGCTAGCCAAACAGGTACCAAAAACCTTATCACAAAAGGTGAAATTACTAAGTACAAGGGTATCGCACAGTTTTAACAGTGTAGCTTTAGATACTGTGTGCCTAATGCCATAAATTAATTTCAACGTTGCATATGATTTATTGGTTTTCTGTGTAATATGTGTTTTAAATCTAATATCTGAATCCTGATACAATCCCAAATTACGAAAACAGCATCCTACATTAATTCGTTAAAATAGTTTCAGCCAGAGACACATCACTGGGAGCAAATCTCAGATATAGTTGGGTGTCATCTGCGTAAAAATGACAGGTACAGTATTTCAAACTATTTGAAATGTTGGATGTATATAACGAAAACAAAAGTGGCCCCAATATAGAACCCTGCGGCACACCCGCCGACACCCTCCGAGGCTCAGATATAGAGTTGTTTATCTTAACTTTTTGGTATCTATTGCACAAGTAATTGGAGACCAATGATATAGCATTAGCGCTAAACCCAACAAAATTTAAGACAGAACTTAACAAGGAATGGTTTACAGTATCGAAAGCTTTTGAGTAATCCAACAAAACTAACGCAGTCATATCGTTTTCATCAATCGCCCGGAGAATGTCGTCGGTAATATGCATTAACGCTGTTTCACAACCATAATGTTTACGAAATCCAGACTGATTTGGAGGTAGGATATTATAGCCGTCAATAAAAGTTCTAATTTGCCAGCCATAACCTTTGCAAGAACCGGGAGAATGCTAATAGGTCGTAAATCCTTGTACTCTTGGGGATTAGAAATTTTTGGTAATGGAGTTACCAGAGCGGTCTTCCAACAGGAAGGAAAAACACATTTCTCCAAACAGTAATTAACTATATGCGTCAAATGTGGGAGTATAAAAGGACAGCAGTACAAGAGCATTGACAACGAAATACCATCATCTCCGACAGCATTAGATTTCATTTTAAGTAAATAACTTGCAACAACGTTTTCATGTACAGTTTCGAAATCAAAATACTTCTGAAATTCACATTTTTTGTTACTGTTATAAAAGTGCATAACATCACTTGAAGGTGCTCCCAATGAACAACCTGTCTGGAGAAAGTGGTTATTAATGTCATTCGCATTTCTTAAATGCATGGGCAAAGTGTTTACTCTATTCCTGATCACTCCGAAATCACGAACAACACGCCACATCGCAGATGTCCCAGTTCGACTCGTTGCCCCCTCAAAGTACACCCTTTTTTCAGTTTTGATGGCATTTGTCACGTGTCTTCTCAACGTTTTATACTGCTCTAGGTCTAATACATTTTTTGTACGCTTATATTTAGCATAAGCTTTATTTCTAACCGCGATCATTTCCTTGATTTGGGGTGTAAGCCACGGAGCAGGTTTTTTTGTAAATCTTTTCGTTTGTAGTGGTGCATGTAAATCAAATAGATCTAGTATTAAAGAATTAAAATAATTCACTTTTTCATCAATGCCGTTAATTTCAAAAATTAATTGTAAAGGTAATGATTCAAGTTCTCTACTAAACAGATCGAGATTAAACCTCTTAAAGTCTCTATAAGTTCGAAATGTAGGAACAGGCTTTGTACTAGCAGTTTTCAAATGAGAGTGTACCAGTTCGTGATCTGAAAGGTGGGGTAGTGAATATAAACCAACCAGGGTGAATTCTTCACATGAACATGCAGTAATATCTATTAAAGTTTCGGAATTAAGTGTAATACGGGTTGGTTGATTAACAAGTTGAACCAGACCAAACGACTCCAGCAAATCAAGGAAAATGCGTGAATATGTACTTTCAGGGTGCAACAAATCAATATTTATATCACCGGCAATAAATAGTTCATTACATTGTGGTATAGCTAAACTTAAGGATTCCTCGAGAGACTCAAAGAATAATGGCAGACTTCCGGTCGGGGGCCTGTACATTACACCAAAAATATATTTAACTTTGTTAATAGTTACAGCGATCCATAGCTGTTCTAAATGATCATATGTTTTTATGTTAACCTTGCTGGGTCTATATAAGTTCTTAATATAAATGCCTACACCACCACCTCGCTTACCAGACCTTTGGCGATGTATGAATGTATAATTTTCGATAGAACACACCGCTTCCGTATGTTCATCCGCCAACCAGGTCTCCGTAACCAATACCAGATCAAAATTATTATCAGTAATGTACTCACGAAATTCAGCAATACTAGGCAGCAACGACCTAATGTTAATGGATGCTATATTCATGTTGTGAACAATAATAAAAAAAAAAAACAATAATAACTACAATTAAATGAAATTTAACTATTGAAAAAGATTTAAATATATATAAACTACATTCTAGAGTGCTTTCCCTCCAGGTAACAAATCAACTAGATTCGTCAATTAGATCAAACGGAGGAAAAGTCTCAAAACAATCGAAAGATTGTATATATATTTTTAACAATCGAAAACAAAAAAGAAGAAAAAAAAAATTGAAAAATCGAACAGAAATTTTTCGAAAAAAGCAAGAATCGAAAAAGTTATATCAACATTCTTTTCTTCTGTCCGTCGACTTCTGCATACAGAGTTCCATCACGGCTCCACACTCTTCTTTTACCATATTCTTCCTCCAGTTTTCTCAATTCGCAAATCCGGTGGTGCGTAAGGTCTTCTCGAATTATAAACTGAGTTCCTCTTAACAGTTTCTTATGATAAAATACGCGATCTTTGGTCTTGTGACTTATAAATTTCATAATAATAGGTCGGTTCTTTCCATTTCGCTTCGGTCCAACTCGATGACAACGATCGATAGAATCCGGTAACAATGCGAGGTTCATTTTCTTATTAATAATATCTAATACAACTTGTTCGGTGTTCTCATTGTCTGTCTCGCTTACCCCGAAAACTCGAATGCTATTCCGTCGAGTGTATTGCTCAAGTCGATCCAGTTTTTCCTCATGGTCTGCTCTACATACGGTATTGTCGGACTTCGAACGAGTAACCTCCGCTTCCAAAATTACAACCTTTTCTTCGAGAATATTAACCTTTTCCTTGTATTCCCTGAGTTCATCCCTTAGAATGGACGATATTGATTTGGCGATATTGGCAATGAACGACTCTTTCTTGAATAACTCAGTCAACACCTCCTCAAAATCACTCAATTGTTTCTTGGTGACCACCATTCTCTTTAACTAATTAACATACTCAACTTAAAAACTAACTTTAAAACGTCGAAAATCAAGTTGAATTAATCGGTAACTCAAACCACCTCGATAATTTTCGTCGACTTAACCTGGAGAGGCACGCGCACGTCTAGCTTGGTTGCATGCTTATCACAAATTATCAAATGATAATATCTCAGCTCCCGAAATGTAATTTAATGAAATTTTTTAAAAAAACATGTAAGAACTCCATATTATTTCCATATTTTACATAAAAACTATATAAGTTATTATTAATCAAGGTGACCACAAACCGTAATCATATCTTTAACTCAAAAAAAGAAGTCTATCAGTGTCCGTTATAGCTCACTAAAAATATACAACTATCTAGCGCTGAATAACAAATAAAACTAGACTAACACTAGCACTAGACTTAGAACTAAAAACATTCCGTTTAGCCGTGCGTCTCTTAAAACGGCTAAACCTGAATGTTTCTACTTTTAGGTAAGTAGCGTAGTTAGTATAAGATATCATTATGTTGCATATTTTTGTTGAACTAAAACTAGAACTAATACAAGACCTAGAATAATACGGGTTTAGTCGTCTTGAGAGACGTGCGGCTAAATCCGAATGTTTCTAGTTCTAGATTCTAGTGTTAGTTCTAGTTTTGCACTATCATTAGAACTAACACCAGACCTATAACTAGAATAATTCGGGTTTAGCAGTCTTGAAAGACGTGCGGCTAAGCCCGAATGTCTTTAGTTCTAGGTCTAATGTTAGTTCTAGAGACAGTGGTAACGCTAGTTAGCACAAGATATGACTATGGTGTATATTTTTATTGAACTAAAACTAGAACAAACACTAGACATAGAACTACAAAGTATCAGGTTGGGTCTTCAGACGCATGGCTAAACCCGAATGTTTCTATTTCTAGGTCTAGTGTTAGTTCTGGTTTTACACTATCATTAGAACTAACACAAGATCTAGAACTAGAATCATTCAGGTTTAGCCGCACGTCTCTCTAGACGGCTAAACCCGAATGATTTTAGTTCTAGGTCTAGTCTTAGTTCTAATTTTACACTAGCACTGTCACTATAACTAACACAAGACGTAGAACTAGAATCATTCTAGTTCTAGGTTTTGTGTTAGTTCTAGTGGCAGTGGTAGGTAGTGCTAGTTAGCATAAGATATTACTACGTTATATATTTTTATTGAACTAAAACTAACACTAGAACTAAGACAAGATCTAGAACTAGAATCATTCGGGTATAGCTGCACGTCTCTCAAGACGGCTAAACCCGAATGATTCTAGTTGTAGGTCTAGTGTTAGTTCTAGTTTTACACTAGCACTGTCACTAGAACTAATACAAGACCTAGAACTAGAATCATTCGGGTTTAGCCACACCTCTCTCAAGACGGCTAAACCCGAATTGTGGCAGTGGTAGGTAGTGCTAGTTAGCATAAGATATTACTATGTTGTATAATTTTATTGAACTGACACTAGACCTAGAACTAGAAAGTATCGGGTTTAGCCGTTCCCTGACCAGCCATAGCTGAGGATCAAACTTGTCGACTTTGCATACATATTCTGTGTGATAGCGTCGTCAGAGGTCACCTAAGACACAAAACTCCATTTATCAAAACGAGGTTAGGTTAGAGCGACAATAATAAAACAAATCAAATGAATACATAAAATATTTAATTTCATTCTTACAAATACATAACCATTCTTACTTAAGACCTAAGAGTCGATACAATCAAATAATAGTCAAAAATACAATCCCCACATTTTCAATCAGGTAAATAAGTACGAAAATACGACGCGAAGGCAATAAAAAAAAAGAATCGAAAGAAGATATTGAGATATGTCCGTTCGAATAGGTCAACAACTTATCTAGGAACTAACGGATATAACAAGAACAACGTTTTATAAATAGAGAGATGCAGACGGTTTAGTTTAATTAGAACTAGATGAGCGATCGCTGTCTTGTAATTGATTGAGAAACGCGACGTTCGTTGATTTTAATCGAGCGGCGGCTACTAAAGACGGAGAAGGTGACATGCATGGTGTCGAACAGAGGCTATTTGATAAATCGCATTGGTCTAACAGTTGAAGGAGTTCTTCTGGTGTAGGCCCACCATTTGTTTTATCAGCTAAAAAAATAATTTCTGAATCTATTAAAATTTGTATTATATACATTTTAATTACCAGATCCATTTTTATACATTAAATCCAATGCAGTGGTTAAATCCCACATTTGAATTGAACCGTTTGAATGACCAGTAAAGATAAATCTTCGTGGTCTCGATCCCATTCTACTTGAACCTTCACATTCGTGGACACAAAACGCGCTTACTGTGCTTCCATCGACAGCTTTTATTACACAGACTCTACAAAAATTAATTTCATAGTTTTCTTTTAGGTTAACTTTTTTTCTTTACTGTTTTACCTTTTTCCATTGCTTGCCAGTCGAACAAATAATTGATCAGTTTCCGGCACAACTTTTTGTACAAAAACTTGTTCGTCGTCTTGTTCGCCAAAGGGGCCGCAATCGTTTGCAACCGCTTGACTTATACATGGTTCTACGGCTTCTAGAGAGACTATTTTAAACGATGCTTCAGGCGTTGAACCAGGTTGCGTGGAAATCATTCCCCTAAATCTCGTTACTAACCAACTTCGAACGTGATTGTATTCGCAACAAACGGAAACTAAATATTTTTCAGATAATGTTACCTAGAATGAGTATTATTATCAAAACAAAATTTCAAATTTTTATAATCATAAATAAATACAGGATGAATAAGAATGGTTTAGTTACACCCATTTAGTTATTTGGGCTTACAATTAATTTTCATCATTTAAGATTGAAAATAGCGGAGCTCAATGTTTATGTATTCCTTTCACATATAAAGCTGTCAGCGTAAAGATCAAATTATACAGAATGATCATAAATTATTGATTTAATAATAAATTCAAAAAAATCTTTCTAAAAGGTCAAAACACTTAACTAATTGTAAGATAATAGACGCCATGAAAATGAAGATAAAGAGCATAGACTTTTAAAGAAATGAAAGAAAGCATCTATTGAAAGAGCAACAACAAGGACAAATCAAATTTATCTTGTTCTCATAACATAAAGCAATAGAGAGTTTTGGCAGAAAATGTTGACAATGACAGCAAAGGCAGGAAGAGAATGAAATGGAATACAGACGCACTGAAAGATTAGATGTAAGGTATACAATATGTAAATCATCCAGATATCTGTAAACGTCTAAGAGAAACGGACGTGAGTGAAGATATAGATAAGAATGGAATAACATCGACAGGGTTCTACTAGAAACAGCCAGGATGATTTTGGTAACGAGAAATGAATGGTATGAGGTTGAATGTGAAAGATTTGTGCTGGAAAAGAATGCTTTGGCAATGAAAATGACGCAAACAGGGAAGAGTATAAAGAAAAGAGAAAAATTGCCAACAAACACATATACAAGAGAGGAATGATGAAGAGAATAACGCAGGATATTGAAAAAAACCATAATCTAAAAAGAGTAAAAGACTTCTTGAGTGATAGATAGGGAGATGAATATGTAAGTTTTTTCAACTTAAAATGTGTATTAGAGTGTAATCTATCCAGAGAAGTCAATACATTGCCAAAGAAACTATTATTACTCTCTAAATTTCAAGATTTGTAAGAGTATGTACTGAACTTGGACAAAAAATAAAAAATCGAAATAACTCCTAAACTATTCAGCTTTGTATAAGGCATATTTAGCTTAATCAATTACAAATGAGCTCTAGAACAACGTATTTCAATATTCACGTTTATGTACCAGTTACCCTGTATATTCATAGATAGTGATGTAAAGGGTAATATTACCGAGGAAATGTTACCGGTAATTTTGGTAATATTACGTAATATTACCGCAAGATCGGTAACATTGGAAATATTGTTTTTTTTTCCGCTCTATACTCTCATTTATTTGCCCAGCTGTACATAGCGTCACTGGCGCCGCGCGGCCGCACATATCGATCGGGGAATACCCGAAATCTAACTTGTGACAATTCCATGGTTCCCCGTGGCAAGCGATATTTTGTAAACAATCTTCATCATAATAAGTGACATTATTGTTATAAAAGGTGTTGTTTATAACTATCAGTGCGATTCCTATCAAATAACTGTAATTGTTTTGCCTTGTTATGTGATATTTGAACTGGTAAGTCTTGATATTTTTAAGTTGAGCTCTTCCCGAAATGCATGATGTTTATTTTGTAGTTGCGATAATATGGTTAAGCCGAAGAGTGATGTTTGGAGGTACTACGATCTTAAAGATAAAGACAACTATTTCTGTAAATATTGTAAAACCTCCTTTAAAAGAAATGCTACCAGACAATTCCAACATTTGCTAAAATGTGTCAAAATACCTGAAAATGTAGTACAAATTCTTAAAAAAGGGAAATTGCCTATAATAAATGTTTCCAGTAGTAACAATAACACCACGCCAAGTTCAACCGAGGTATTAGAAGATAGTGATGCTGATGATACTGATACTACCTCTCAGCAGGGGCAGGGAGAATCTTTAGACTCAGAAATTGCTTCACTAGTCAGGCCTGTGCCTTCATCAGCTAGTTCTTCATTTTCAAGTACTACTAAAGCATCAAAGGGTACAATTTCTTCGTATTTTGATAACATGTCCTCTCAAGAAAACAATAAGATTGATGAAATACTCGCAAGGGCTATTTATGTCTCAGGAGCCCCCTTAGATATGACAACGAAAAAAGTATGGTTAGATGTATTCAAAGCAATGAGATGCGCATATAAACCACCCTCTCGTTACCAGTTGTCAAATCCACTCCTCGAATCCGAGTACACTAGAGTAAAAGCTGCAGTTTCTTCAAAAATTAGTGAAGCACCTATCTTAAGCCTACAAATGGATGGATGGTCAAATTGCAGAAATGACTCTATATCTAATTTTGTTATTAATACACCTCTTCCGGTATTTTACAAATCAATACACACCGAAAATAACAGACATTTAGCAACATTTTTGGCCTCAGAAATTGAAAAAGTGTTGAAAGAATTAGGAGCTTCAAATTTTCTAGCTATTGTCACTGACAACGGAGCTAACATAAAAAAGGCTCGTGAAATAGTTAGCAGCAAGTACGATTACATTACTAATTATGGTTGTATTTGCCACGGTCTAAACCTTCTGGTTGAAGACTTCTTGAAATTAGACCATTTTTCCAATTTTAAAAAGAACATAATTTCAATTGTATCTGAGCTGAAAAATTCGCAGATTTTACATGCAACGTTTGAAAAAATCCAGTTGGACAAAACGGGGCGATACATCTTTTTAAAATTGCCGGTGAAAACAAGATTGTTGTCTAAAAAGCTTTTTGGACACTAAACATTCATTAAAAAGTTTAGCAGATGATGATAGCCCAGACATTTCTGATGTTCTTTCATCAAATACAGTAAGACTTCTTCTTGAAAACGAATTTTGGTTACAAATAGAAGCAACTTATGACTTGTTCCAGCCAATCACAAAGTGGATAACGATTTTTGAAGCTAACGGGCCAACAATCTCAAAAGTGTTTATCTGCTTTTTTAAAATAAGATCTATATTATGTGACAAAGTATCAAATTTATCTATTACTATGTTGGAATACCAGAAAATGTGTTCAATTCTTGAAAAACGACAAAATAAATGTTTAAAACCCGTTCATCTTGCTGCTTACCTATTAGAACCAAATCAACGCGGCGACAATTTAACTGAAGATGAAAATTTAATTGCAACGGAGTTCATCTATGAAACTGCAAGGCGTCATCCAAAGTATTCTTCACAAGTAGATCTTATTATGGAAGCACTCGCACTGTACAAAATTAGAGGTAATAATTTTGCTAAGGAATTCGTTATTTCCAGCGAAAAATGTATGTNACGAATTTTGGTTACAAATAGAAGCAACTTATGACTTGTTCCAGCCAATCACTAAGTGGATAACGATTTTTGAAGCTAACGGGCCAACAATCTCAAAAGTGTTTATCTGCTTTTTTGAAATAAGATCTATATTATGTGACAAAGTATCAAATTTATCTATTACTATGTTGGAATACCAGAAAATGTGTTCAATTCTTGAAAAACGACAAAATAAATGTTTAAAACCCGTTCATCTTGCTGCTTACCTATTAGAACTAAATCAACGCGGCGACAATTTAACTGAAGATGAAAATTTAATTGCAACGGAGTTCATCTATGAAACTGCAAGGCGTCATCCAAAGTATTCTTCACAAGTAGATCTTATTATGGAAACACTCGCACTGTACAAAATTAGAGGTAATAATTTTGCTAAGGAATTCGTTATTTCCAACGAAAAATGTATGTCTGGACCTGTTTGGTGGGCAGGAATTTGCTCCAGTTCTAAAATAAGTAAGTAAAATAAGTAAATTTACCATCGTCAACAGCCGCAACCGAAAGAACCTTTAGTACTTACGGATTTATTCATCGGCAAAGAAGAAACAGACTTACCGTGGAGAGGGCCGGAAAACTAACTTATATTGCTCATAATTATAATTTACTAAATGAAGACGATTATTCAAAAATAGTAGAAGCTACTGAAGACGAAATAGAAAAGGAAGATATCGGTTTCGAAGTTATAGACTTTACTCAATTAACGAAAGAGAAAGAAGATTCAGATGACGAGGTTGGGGATGATCCGGATGATGATTTACCATTATCCACTCTATTACATAGTCCATTGTGACTCTGACTAGTTTAAAAAACGTTCTTGTTGTTTTTTGTAATGTTTTTACAGTTTTGAAATAAAAAAAACTTCTATTACTTAAAAAGCTGTTTTTTACAAATTTTACCAATGTTACCGCAATATTATGTAACATTACCGATTTTTAAATTACCGGTAATTTTACATCACTATTCATAGACATCAGGAGAGAATTTGACAATACATAAAGGAGTAGACTTGAGTTTAATCTAAGGAAAGTGGAAATTCCAAACACTAACAAAGCTGACACCATTACCAATGGTGCAATAAATGCAGAAAATATCCGATGAATTCGGGATATGGACTGGTGTAAAATAGGGACATGTTTTGTTCAAGAAAAGATTGAACATCATTTTTTCTTGAACTATGCTACTGGTGGCATTGAAAACAAAGACAATATAATAACGAATTCTTTTAAATATGCGCATAAACAAATGATGTCCTGGTAATGGCCAGAAGTTACGGAGGTATTGTAGAGATATTTACTGACATTGAAAGAGCAGCCAAAGAGGATGGATGCATAAATGAGGCAAACACTAAGTATATGAAAATGACACGAAACGAACAGAGAGGAAAACCTGATAATATAACTATAGGCGAATATACCTTCGAGAATGTTCAGAGATTCAAATCTAGTCATAATTTTTAATAGTGAGTATCACATAACAGCAAGAATACAAGCAGCAAACAGGACATGTCCAGGGGAGCCAAACTGAAAATGTACATATAAGACCATAGTTATACGAGTTTTGTCTTATGGAGTAGAGTCCTGGAATTTGGTAATAGCGAACAAAGACGCCGTTCGTATCTTTGAGAGAAAAATACTCCGTAAAACATTCGGACCAAAGGTAGAGGAGATTTTCTCTCTCGAAGAAGAATGAATTTTGAGATCCAGGACTTAATAGGAGATAAAGATATCATATGATTTATTAAATCGCAAAGACTCAGGTGGGCTACACTCATTATAAAAATGCCCGGACATGATAAGTATAAGAAGTAGGGGGTAGACCACATGCGAGATGGAAGGATAGGGTGGAAGACGATGTAAAAATATTGAAGATCAAGAAAATCTACTGAAGGAAGCCAAAGCCAATCCCGGGCTGTAACGCAGAAGAATACTATTAAATAAGAAAATAAGAATTATATATGATATTGGACTGATAGAAAGTCTATATAGAAAGTTAGAAGGTAATAAATACAAATATAGACATCAGGAGAGGCTTTATTGTGCGTGGAAAATAAAATTACTCAGTTAAATTTAAACTTCAATAAAAATTAAGTATATCTCTTCGAGCAACTATTAAAAAATTAAAATTCCACTTCAACAGTATTCTGCTCACATTGCGATCAACCCCAATTCTTTTCATTTAACTCGTTTAACACCTCCTCCAAATTGTCTGATAAAGAATCAATGCGGTCATGCAACATCTATTGAGTGATACTAAAAATTATAAACGATAAGACCTTGGAGCAATACTAAGGTTCATTAAGTCCTAAACTTTTGGAGGACTAAAGTTACAATAGATCTTACAATAGGTCGCAAATAAATAGTAAAGTAGTACTAGTAAGTAGTACTGTGGTAAGCAGTACTGTAAATAAGCACCTTCAAAACATGAAGCTTCCCTCTCTGTCGAGCCTGTGAACAGGATGACGAGACGGTTAAACACATCTTGTGTGATTGCCCCTCTCTGACCGACCTCAGAACGAGGACCTTCGGGGAGGAAAGGCCAACCACAGATGATATCAGGAGTGCACCTCTAGGAGCTGACCTAGCCTTTGGCAAAACCTTAGGCTGGTTGATGTGACTAGAGTGTGTAATGAGGATGCACAATGGGGCCAAAGTGTGGTGTGCGGTTTTGCACGCAATAAGTGTTTTTACATGGGAGGACGAATTCTGGTAATTCTGTAAATGAATCGCAAGTTCTGAAAAGTTCTGCATTCTTTCTAAGTGACTACAAGTTTCTTCTTGCAAAAAGCATTATGTTCAATCATAAATAAATAGACTCTGCCGTCCACGTTTCCTACCAAATGCAAAATTACTTAATCCATACACAAAAAAGATATCACAACATTTGTATTCACCTACCGGTCTATGATGAGTTAAGTTGCCTGGGTTATCTAAATTTTTTTGATTGTCTTGCTTTTGCATAATAATTTTTTCATAATTCAATTAAGAAAGTATAAGCGATACCACGAGAAACGCGAATGATTCATCGATTTCCGTTATTATTTTCTTTTGCTTAGATTAACTTTATTGTCTTATAAAAGTACTGTCACATAAAGCATAGTATATCCTAAGAAGACAGAGTTGATTCTTTTCACACGAATGAGGAAGTTTGGCAAGTCCAGAATGCCATCTCTCGCTAATACTCCATTGGTCTTGTCAAAAGAAGTCAAATATCTGGTCATTTTATTGTCAAGTGTAATTGACAATAAAATGACATGGAAAGCTCACCTAGATAATAGAGTAAAAAGAGCGTACGTTACAATCGGTCAATCCGGAGGGCTATAGGTAAGACATGGGGTTTGTCTCCCAACACTGCCATCTGGATTTATACGGCCAGTGGCGCCGACTACGGGGGGGCTGCGGGGCTTGAGCCCCCCCGTAGTCGGCGGCATGGGGCTTGAGCCCCCCCCGGAAAATTGTAAAAGTGTACAATTGTATTGTAATAAGGTGTACGATAAGGTGTAAGATTTGAAAAAGTTCTGCCCCCCCCTCAAATATTAAAAAGTCGGCGCCACTGTATACGGCTGTAATTCAACCTGTGCTTACATATGATGCAGTACTATAGTGGTCAAAGATCTTACAGTCTACATCCACTGCTGCACTTAATAAAGTACAGAGACTTGCGTGTTTGTATGGTACAGGTCCGCTGCGGACTACCCTTGAACCTAACGCTACTTCATTTGTTCATTCAAGTGATGGCACTGGTGACCATGATTCAACTGCATGCAGCAGTAATTCTAATGTGTGAGAGAGACAGTAAGAATGCCGTACTCTGGAATGAAATGGTGGATCATTCGCCAATTCTGGAATGTAAAACGGACTTTACATCCTTACAACACATTTTTGCGAAGAAATATCTCACCCACTCAAGTTCCACAGAAGTAGAAGTAAAAAACAGCCTTAAAATCTATACTGATGGTTCAAGTAGACGGGAAGGTGCTGGAGCTGGAGTCTTCTCCTATGATCTCCGACTCCACATAGCTGAACCACTAGGTAAAGGTACCACCGTCATACAGGCAGAGTTAATCACCATACAACTTGCCGCTGACGTTATTGTTAAATCCAGTTTAGAAGGTAAGACTTTTACAATTTACACTGACAGTAGGCAAGCTATTTTAGCCCTGAGTAGAATAACAATTACCTCAGGACTTGTAATGGATTATCATCTGACATTGGACAAGGCCGCAGTGCGTAACTGTGTTATACTTCAGTGGACAAAAGGACAGTCGGCCTGTTCAGGTAACAGGTACGCTGATAGGCTTGCTAAAAAGGCTGCCAAGGGAGCGCCCTGTTCGCCTTATAAACTCAAATTGAGATAATTAAAGATTTATGAGATTTAGGTATATTATATTACCCACGAAAAGTTTATGAACTGGTGGGAAAGGGTTAAAACCTGCCATCTGTCTAAGGAACTACTTCGTTACCCCTCAGCAGAGGCAGCCTTGTCTTTCGTAAAGCTTGGTAGAAATGCTCTACGAATTGTAACAGGACTTGTCACGGGTCACTATAAGGATAACAAGCATCTTCATAAACTTAAGCTTTCTGTTAGTCCTCTCTGTCGCTTTTGTGAAGAGAGCGAGGAGACTGTTAAACACATCTTGTGCGACTGCCCTACTATGCAAGACCTCAGAATGAGAGACTTCGGAGAGGAATGGCCGAGCACGGATGGCATCAGGAACACACCTCTGAGCTGTATCCTAGCCTTCGGAAATTCCTTAGGTTGGTTGATGTAGCCAGAGAGAGTGCAAGAGAATGTACAAGGGGGCCGTTGGGGCCTAGGTGCTGTACCCTTTCCTACATACAAAGCATAGTAGTACAAATATGATGACATTCAATTATATGAAAATATTGAAGTGTGACAGTAGAAAGAAATTATTGCTAAATGACAAGTTTAATCGCCATTAAAACCAGGTTATTATGGTACATAAAAATCCTCTGATTTTTTTTCATTAAATGTTTTGTGAATATAATATGTCGAAAAATATCTGTAAATGAGGTAGTCAGCAATTACTCATGTGCAAAATAAGCACCTTTCCTTAAATAATTTTTGCATTATACCATTATTATATTATTACACAAAAAAAATGTTATTGCGGTATATTTTGAAGGCAAGTACAATAATACCTAGTCTCCTCCTTACTTTTTCCTTCTTACATCTACTTTAGCAGCAAATAGTACAACATCTTGCAGCATTCAGTTTTCCTGGTCAACAATAAAGTATCAGTTAGACGTAAATGGTTTGGGTTGCTTGATGGCTTTCTACCTTTCGATGAAAATTCTGCTGCATGTTAATTTTTTAAATATTAAGAGATTGCCGTTTGTCTAAATTTAGAGTTATTTGAAATTCCGGTCTTTTTGTACAGCAAAAATACATTCCAGAGTTCCTGCCCAAATAAATGGAAAAACACTTTTTTATAGTTTTTTTGACAACATTTTTGGCAAATGGTGGTCAATCCGATCAACTCAACCCATCATAAAATTATAGACTATTTATAGATTGTTTGTCACAGTTGGGCATTGTTTACTCAATTTAGTTGCATCATCATGCAGGTATGGACAGTGAAGAGAAAAACATCATTTTTATCCCTCCATCTCATAACCATGACATTCCCCTTATTCTAGACTTTGGTGTATCCACGAGCAACCTTCTTAGGAAAGGCAGTTTTTTGGGTACTCATTTTCGTCTGAATCTTACTGTTCCATATATATCAGTTTTATTTGTAGGGAATTAAACAACGCATAATATAACTCCGCGAGGAATTAGATAGGGAGACAGCTTTAACCCATTTTTGTTTAAGCTCTTAATGGATAAAATGCTAGAGGAAATCATCTTTAAATGAGACACGTGACAAGCACCAAAAGAGTTAGCAGCATGGTGTATTATGCAGATGATGCAGCTATCAACTACATCATTTGGTTACTTTCGTTGGTAAGACGAAATCCATGACCATAAAGGTACGCCTAAAAATCTAAACTCTCACTAGATTTGGGTTTCTCGAATTCAGTGAATGATTTGAGGAACTAAATTAACAAAGCATCTCCAGTATCAGGGTTGTTTAGAGATACAGTTTGGCCAACTCCGTATATACGAATGGACAGGAAAGTTCGAATATAATAAATTAAAAGTGAGAAACTCGGATATTAAAAATCAATGCACGTTCCAGACATAGTGAAATGGGGAATAGACATGAAGAGATAGCTGGCATTCGACATTTCATAGATAACAACTTTAGAATTATCAGATCAACAGATATCCAATAAGAAAAGAATGTCTAAATTGCTGGGATGTTAACAAATTAACTGGGGATAAGCAAATTTTGACAATAATGTAGAAACTGATATGTTTCAGGTCAACTATTTATGATCATTCAGTTTATTCTTCTATATTTACTTTTTTTCTATTATAATTTTTCCAAATCTTTACTAGTCAGCTATACATGGATTTTTTAGCCAAAAAAGACCAACATATCTTTTATTATTAATAAAGAAAAAAAATTAATATTTACTTTAGTTACTGGACTTTGATGAACGGTAAACGTTTGAAATAACTGTGGTCCATGTCCGACAGTTTCCGGATGTTGAACAATAACTCGTACCGATCCGGAACGAGTTCCATAAGCGATCTCAATCCAATTTCCGCACAAGTCTGTCAATATAACTCGCTATTAATAACCAAAAACCGTTACCTAAAGCTACATGCATGTTACTTAAATGGTTTCAATAAATTGAATCATCAAGCATGATATTTTTGTCTCATAATATACGATGTGTTAAAAGTTTTTCTGAATTTTGTTATATAATTTTCTAAAACCTTGTAACATCATAAAATGTATACCTGAAGAACACATAAAAAATTGTGATCTATAACTGTGCCCTTCAGTGTATATGTATTTCTTTTTGTTTATTTAATTGAGACCGTTGGTTATGATGGTGTCCTTGTGTTGGCATACCAGCAAAACCAAAACAAAAAAGAAATTTGAAAGAAAAATGATAAAGAAAGAAGAAGAAAAAACGTTCCGTGCATAAAAATTAATTCCAATAAATAAAAAGAAAAATAAGTTTTCTTGTGAAATAAATAAAATGTAGACATGTAAACACACAAAATAGTTAGCTTATTAACCCATTAATGCACACACATTTATTAATTTTTTCATATGACGTTATGTTTTATTAGTTTAATAAGCAATATTTTAAACGAAACAAACAAAAACATTTAAAATTCATTCAAATAAACGGATAAATACTTTTTATTTCATATTTATGATTTTTCTGATATATATCGAAAATAAAGAAACGTACTTTCTCCTTAATTTATCTACTATCAAAAATGTTCTTTTTGTTTCGTTCATACTACACAAGTTTTCCAAATAATGTTTCAAAAGTAGTTTTCCAAACGAAATTTTATATAAAAGAATTCGACATTGATAGTAAAATGTTATTTTTATATTTGAAGATCAAAATGATTTATGAAATGGACAAAATTATGCAAGAAAGTTTTTCGCCATCTATAATTTTTCCCAATTTTTCAGTAGCTGCCCATGTATGTTGGATTCTTCTAGTTATTTCAGCTGTCTCGTTCTCTATGCCTAATTTTAATGTGTGGACCAAGTGTTCTAGAACGCTTTGTTGTAGTTTAAAAAAGGTAGATATAATGGAATGTTGTATTCCTTGCACTTTTTTATTGATGTATGCATTCTCTGAATATGTTCCACTGAGTTGAATCGCTTGCGGAAAGCTTCCTGTTCCGGCCGCTGATATTCATCTAGTTTATTCCAGCCAGAAGATATTTTGTTTTCTTTTAGACACGTGTTTAGTAAAATTTTCATAACTTCTTCTTAAGTCTTGAGGGTTAGTTGATAAATAAAGTTCGCTATAGAAGATTTCAACAATTTCGAACTTCAAATCTGTACAAATCATCTTAAGTTTTCGTTTGGTAGACTACTTTTGAAACTGCTTATATACACAGCAAAAACAACAATTTATTGATGATCCATAGCAACTTTATCACCTCTTAATAAATTTATTAAGAGCTGATAAAAGTGGCCTTAAGTGTGATAAATGGTTAGGAAGTTAGATAACGATGACACCAAGATTTTAAATAAATTAATAAATAGAATCGCAAAGGAAACAACTATTCAATATGTAATAATCAAAAACGTAGCTGATCCGCAGCGTGTGCTTTTGGTGTGCGGCTCGTAGCGGCAGCAACAGTAACCAACAACAACAGCAGCAAAAAGATAAATGAAAAAAAAAAAAAATGAAAAGATTCATAAAACGAAACGGTCAAAGAGTGTTGTAAAGCTCAAACTTTTTGGCATACCTTCGCGACCCCTCTCCGACGCTGGCATGAAACACAAGGGCCTTCGATTTTATTCAGAACAGAACAGGTTGTCCAATAATAATCAAAATGCCGGACACACAATTAGATAATTAGGTACTTTTTTCTTTGTAACGCTGAGTGTTGTAAATTTGAATATCTCTTTAACATTTATTCAAAAAACTAATTACAATAAATTTAAAACACTCGGTAAATTTTGTTATTGATTTTTAAAACAAGTGTTAGGCACATCAAGCTTAAAACGTTTAGTAGTTTCCAAGATACACTAGCCACCAAAGGTTAAAATAACAGAAAGTGAACAAAAAGAACTTAAACTGCGACATAAAAATAAAAGGCAGTGAACACAAATAAGCGTAATAAGTAATAAATTGTAATTTGCGTGCTGTAAGAATATAAACGAATTACAGCACGCTATTATACTTACTTGTTTTAGGAGTGAGATACACGGAAATTGCTGTTACAGGATCGTTGTTTGGATCTCGATATAGTTCAGTTACAAGAAGATCGTTGTCTTTCATACGAAGTGGGAATTTTTGCATATCTGTAACAAAATAAATCTCTCATTAGCTAAATTTGCCACAAATTGTTATACACCCATTGTCTATTATGTCACCTTAAGCTTCTTAAAGGTATATTGTCAATGTTTGATGTAATTGTATACCATTATAATTCGCAAATAACTAACAGGGAATTTACATACAGTAAGACCTCGATTAACGCTGATTTGCTATAACGCGGTTTGTTGAAAACCTTAAAAATGTTTAAAATATCAAATAATTGCAGCATTTCATTGATTCGTATAATACGATTAATCCCGAATATATACATAGCGCTGTGATTCCCCAGAATTTATGCTTGTTTGATGTATTTAAGTTTTATAAGTTATTAAAGAGTGTTCAACACTTTCACGTTCTATAATTAATCACGTTGTCCATGTTGCAAGTTATCTATTATTTAAATAAATAAGGAATAAAAATCTCTTACTTGCTTTTATTAAATTTAATTCGAAACTAGTTTCGAGGTACAAACCTCATCTTCAGTCGAACTACAAAGAAATCAAATAACGATTATAAACAAAATTGTTGCAAACATGTTAAAATGACCACAAATAATATATTTATAATCTATTGAACTAATTTTCTAAATACTCACAGTCAAAATTTTACTATAAAAGTTTTCGCAACATGAATACTCTAAAGATAGTAAAGCACATTAAAAATTATGTCCCTGCAAACAATAAAACAGGCACTCTTCTGTAACGCGTTTTACAAACTAAAAAGACAAGACCAAAATAAGATAACACGCCCACAAATAAAAACTAGTGTTTCAACGTAAAATCTTTTAAAAAAGTAAAAATAGGTTTTTTAAACAATTCACAAGTTATTATCTTTTTTATGTTTCATAATTTCCAGGATTTCGAGAAGATCCATTTTAAAACTCTTCTTACATTTATGAAGTAATTTTGTTTCTTTATAGTTGATATTATGTCCTGTTTCCATAAGATGTTTAAAAACATTTGACTTGCTTCTTGTCTTATGTTCCCTGATCCGAGTTTCCAGCCTTCGGAAATTAATTCTAATTTAATTTCTAATTTTTTGGATCATATTGAAAACAATTTCATCATGAATGAAGCTAATCCTTACGTGAACAATATTGGCTGTTGGGCTAGATATGTGGATGATGTCTTTTGTGTATGGAAGGGGAATGAGGAATGTTTAACTTTCACAATTACATCAATGGTTTACAGAACAATCTTAAATACACACTGGAAATGGAAGAAAAAGGAAAACTAAATTTCATGGACTTGAGCTTAACGAGAACCAAAGATCATTTAATTGAATATGGGATTTTTAGAAAAACTTCCATACCATACCATACAATTCAGAACACCCTTTGTCCTAAAAATTAGCTAATTTTAGATTTTTAAATTAATAGAGTTTTCAGCTACCCATTAACACAGAAGAACAAGACAGAAGAAATTAATTTCATATTTGAATTAGCCCACAACAATGACTTTCCTAAAAATATCATTTGTAGGTTGTTGTTTAAAGCTCAAAAATAAAAGGATCCATTGTTTATTAGAGAAGTGCAGCAAAATAAATATAGGCACATAACATTTAATGACATCACTTTAAAGGCAACACATATTTTTTCTAAATATGGAATTTCATTAGCATTTTCAAATAGCAACGCCATTTTAAGACTTCTGTCAAATTATCACAAAACTGAAAAAGATATAATGAAAAAGAGCGGGGTGTATAGCATTGGATGTGAAAATTGTAACTCACTGTACATAGGACAGACAGGTCGAAGGCTGGAAACTCGGGTCAGGGAACATAAGACAAGGAGCAATTCAAATGTTTTTAAACATCATATGGAAACAGGATATAATATCAACTATAAAGAAACAAAATTACTTCATAAATGTGAGAAGAGTTTTAAAATGGATCTTCTCGAAATCCTGGAAATTATGAAACATAAAAAAGATAATAACATTAATCTTCTTAATGATCAACTCGAATTGTTTAAAAAACCTATTTTTACTTTTTTAAAAGATTTTACGTTGAAACTCTAGTTTTTATTTGTGGGCGTGTTGTCTTGGTCTTGTCTTTTCAGTTTGTAAAACGCGTTCCAAAAGAGTGCCTGTTTTATTGTTTGCAGTGACATAATTTTTAATGTGTTTTGGTATCTTAAATAGAGTATTGATGTTTCGAAAACTTTTATAGTAAAATTTTGACTGTGAGTATTTAGAAAATTAGTTCAATAGATTATAAATA